AGCTCATAAATGGTCGGATTTGAAGAATGCAGTTCAGTAGACTTTGCCACCGTCACCTGCGGTGCCATTGTATTCAATTGCTAGCGATGGACCCAATAGAAAATGGTATGTGGATGCTAATTTTGTTGAGCATACTTTAAGTGAAGTAGAAGTTGTGCAATCTAGAAAAGTATCTTCTTTAAAAGCATTTAGGTTTGATTCTACTTTGAGGTGTGTTACAACCCATTTTGATTAATTTAAAATCATTATGATTTTTTGAGAATCTCAGGTAATTCTGTAGAGTAGTGCTTTGATTTATTGGAAGAGGTGGAGTATTGTGTTTTGTTAGAGAAATTAATTTTTTGGTTATTATTAAAGAAGTCAGTTCATTTCTTGATGGAATTTGTGTCAAGGTGGAAATTGTTAGAATTTGGGTGTGACTTGAATTCCTTGTTGAAGTAATTGAAAAATTCTAATTGAAGTGCACATCAAGAAGAATTTAATTTGGAATGCTATTGGAGTCCTATGTCACGTTGAAGTTTTATTTTGGAAGCCCACTGGGAGTTGTAATTTGTTTTGGACTTGATGTTTTAGTATCATACTTCATCAACAACTCTACTAGGAAGGTTTGGATATCCCCTACATGTTTCCCATAAATACGAGATTCTTCTATACAATTTTATGGTGTGAGAAAATAGATTACTAGAATGAAATGATCTATTATAATTTTTCTCTTTTCTCCGTTATTCTTAAATCAATAAAATCTCTCAATTCATCTAGTTATTGGTCACCACACAAGAAATAAAAATTCAAAATTGATGGCTTGATGTGATGGATAACGGTCATATTTTTCATTTTTATGGATGAAAAATAAAAAACAAACGGAAGCTTAATTATAATAAGTTTTGCCAACATGCCGTTAATAACTACATATTGATACGAACAAATTTGAGCAGGTTTTTTAAAAATATCTTGTTGCCTTATTACATATTGGACATGCATCAATCATTAGTCTGTATGTGTTGCTGCCCTATTTGAACCTCATTTTTAAGAAAAAAATAAGCGTGAAATAATGTTTTTTTTGGAGAACTCGTGGTTAAAAAATAGGAAAGAACTTGTGTAAAATTATTTTATGGTAAAATGTGTTGTTAAAAATGATTTTTTTAAAGGGAAAATGGAGATAAGGCTTTTCGTTAAGTTTTATGTTTTAATTCTTTAATAATATAATTTCTGTTACTTTTTTAGTCCCCGTTTAACAATTATTATTTGAAAACTCTTTTTTCAAGATACTCATTTTCGATAACATATTAGCATAATAAAATATTTTGCACGTAAATTTAAAGTTTTTTCCTACTTTTTAACAACATATTTTCCTAAAAATTACTATTCGAAACATTATTTTGTCATTAAACATGAGCTTAATAACCTTTTTCAAAACAATTATACTTGGTGTACACTATGTCTATATTCATCAACATGGCAAATTGTGATTTGACAACTAAAAAAAAAAACTATTTTTCCATTCAATTAAATTTCGACAATCATGCATGTTGACCACCGAAAATGAGCCAACAGATATCGGGTCTACTCACGGTAAGTCAAGTATGATTCCAGAGCATTTCTACCACAATGATGACCGTAGCACGAGAAGTATGAACGCGAGAGATACGTAGCGGCTAGAGACAATGCTGTTCGAGCTCCGACGAACGGAACAAAAGTGATCTCGCTAACATCGGTCGCTCGACTGAAATTAAACTCAACTGTATAATCACAAACGTGAATAAGTGGAATGATAGATATGATGTGTATTCAAGTTGCTATATCGTATACAAGAATTTTTCACTCATGAACATGCCCAAGAGACCATTATTGGAAGTTTTCAATTTCTTTCTATTTAATTGCAGTATTCAAATTTGATTTAACGAGTTTTCAAATTAAATTATCGTCATTCACTTGGTGTCAACAACATCTTAATTTTGATTGGTTCTTACTTGTTAGTATTTAGTATTTCAATCAACGTGCAATGATTAATCCATTATTGGATAAACATGGGACATTCACAAAAAAAAAACAAATATATCTTATGATGCTTTTTGTTTGATAATTAACTAAAATTAAAGACAAGAAATAAAGTAAAAGTTGTCATCAAATTAAAGCAAGGTGGACATCTTATGACGTCTCCAATTTAAATCTTGCTGCAATATGTTTTTTTAAAATTTTTGCTAATCGCCAGCGATAGAAAAAGTCAATTAATTAATGAATAAATTTATCAAAATTTTTATAAATTAAAAAATTAATACCAAATAATTGATATGTTATGTTGTCGGTGCTTAACATGTTTAAAAGATCATTTATATATACTAAATATTGAGACATAACTTATTAATTCATTGGTGAGGAAAAAGGATAAAAAATACCAAGAAATATAAGCCGTAATATGTTCGGTAAAGTGCGCTGGATAATACATAGCTAATGCTAAGAAAGAGTAGGTTTTTTTTTTTTTTGGCATACTGTACGAACTACGCCGTTATCAATCGAGTTTCAACATAGCCTCTATTCTATTATTTTTCTTCTATTGACGTTGCACGATCAGTAATTACATAGTAAATTTTTTCGAATGTTTACACTATCAGAAAGAATTAAATAAAATGAGATCATTCTTGCAATCAGTTAATAAAACGACTCTCTCATCCATAAATAGATAATTAAGCAAGAAAAGTGAACAGTGCACAACGTTATTTAGATTATACATTACAGACTAGAAACAAAATCAAGAAAAAAAAAATAATAATAATAAAAATAACCCGGCCCATGAGAGAGTCCACATAAATTTACTGTTTACATTTTAACTTCAATGTCCTTTGGCATATTCTGATGCTCACGAGCTTCTTCGATTCCATCATTAATTGGCTGTGAAACCTCTGGAATTTTCTCTGAATTTATCAGTGCACTGATTTTCACAATGTCAATAATTTGCTCAGTTAATTTTGGAATTTTGTGTTCTTCCAAAATTATAATTTTCTTCGGTATTTCAGGAAGCTTTTTCTTGTCACTCTTATCTCCGTTTTTGTATATCACATAAAGTACCATTTGTATAACGCCAAAGCTGAAGCCTAGAACATTTGGAATCTGTATGGACAAAGTAAAATAAATATTATTTGCAAAAATTAACGAACACGATGTTTAAAAGCCGTGCTTTAAAGGTGGAGGAAATGTCAAATACCATATAGAGACGACAGATTTTGATCGAAAAGAAGAATAATAATAAAAAAAAAATATGGCTTCAGGCACGGATTTTTTGTTCCTGAAATCAAGATATCCGTTGCTATTACTCTTTACCAATGGAATATTAGCAACCATAAATCCCTTGTTAATTTGAGGATCGCTGATATTTATTAACGGATCGCGTCGAAATTTCCATTGGTAAAGTGTGAACCTTTTAAAAAATTTTAACCACTACCAACCGATTTTCCGTTGGTAAATGTCTACCATTACAATTGGTAAAAATCAGCGTTGTAAATATAGACATAGGTGCGAGGTGCGACAAAAAATTATATATTTATTTTTTAATAACTATAATTTTTTTGAACTTTTAGCCAACTTAAGTGAAAGGTTTAAAAAATTGTTTAATCACTTATTAGACCACTAATTTATATATGCAATCTCCAAAGATTTTGTTGTGAATTTTCGATGTGGAATAAAAAATTTTTGGTTTGACATTATTAAAATTGATTAATATCATAAATTGTTCAATGGTATGTTGTCACGTTGCACAATGTAAAAGATGATGTACATGTAGCATGATTGAAAAAAGAAACACTGGTATGAACTTACAGCAATGTTATAATCCTTGAGCAGCAACCCATAGAAGAACCACATAACAGCACTTATTGTGAGAAAAAATGATAGAAGAAATGGCATGTATTCGACGCTTTTTGTTCGTATAACTTGTCTCTGCCAAGTAAATAAATAAAAACAAAACAAAGAAATTAGAACTTGAGAGGAAAATTAATTGATTTTCTACTTTAATTTTTTTATGCTTACCAGAATGCCTAATGGGGCAATAAATACACACAATGAAAATACAAGACAAATCCATCCAACAACGTGGACACGTTCCGAAGCTTTCACCAGAAGTTGATTTGAGAGAATGATGAGACCAAACCCACAAACTATCAGCAGTAAAATTAACTTTATAGTTTGTACCTGCATTTCAAAAAAGTTCGAATATTTGTCGAAAATAGTTCATCTATATAAACTTGTAATCTATTTTATCGTTTAAACTTTTAGACAAAATGATTTGATAAGATATTCTTTACCTTCTTTGGTGCATAGAAGAGATAAAAGAAAATGTATATAGTTTCAATGAAACATCCAACAGAATTTATGGTAATAAGAAGTGTGGTATTATCGGACTTGAGAAATGCATAGTACATCCATAGCATGGCACTGAATAGAGCAACAACATAAGGAACTGATTGGAATCCTTCACTTGACTTTTTCTTATAAATTTGATAGAATGTTGGCCTGCAATAATTGATAATTAAAATCCAATAATAATTTTAATTGAATCAAGTTTTTAACTGAAGTAGTATAATGAAACTTACATTGGAGCAAGATAGACCATGAAGGAGATTATATTACCTACAGAATGAAGGGAAAAAAGTATTTATATATCATTGCATGGATGTTTTAAGTAACAATTGCATGTAAATTTGAGGAATTTAACTTGTAGTAACAATATATAACGTTGTTCTTCTGTACGTGTAATATAATTTAAAGAAAATATTCAATATCATTATCAATATAATTTATAAGTTATAACTAGACAATACAATTTATAAAATGGCATCAAATATTATTGAACTAAGTTTCAAAATAAAGATTATGTGAAGTTGCATTGGCCTAGTTGATTTTGTTTTCATGCATGTAAATTATGGATGTGAATGTGATGACTGCCAAACCCATTCACAATAAATTTATTAGTACATTTCATAGAGTGACGTGTCATTCAAGGAGGATTTTGACCAGCGCAAGAAAAAAGAAAGAGTAATGTTATTCATCCCCAGTGGGATTACAAACACAGTGTAATGCCACCTAGACTTTGTTTGTAACCCCAGTGGGGATGAATAGCATTACTCAAAAAGAAATTAAGGAACACAATTAATTAGTGTATTTTTTTTCCATCGAAAATGTAAAAAAAAAAAATTATTAAGGATAAATAATACTTAGGTTTTACCAAGTACACCAAATGCAAGAACCCAGTCTCCAGAGAAAACTGCCATCTCCCTTGGCCAAAATTTGAAACTAAGAAATAAATTATTAGCTATCTGAACTCTGATGGACAAAAGGATTGATTATGGTACCTATTTATATAGAGTGTATATGGGACACTAGTGCATTAAGGTAAGGGTAAGCCAGGATTTTTTAAAATGAAAAATAACAGATAATTTCTTGTAAATGAGAGGAGCCCTTTATCAACTATTATATTTACTGAACGAAAAATTGCGCCACTTGTTCTTCGGTCGGTTAAGGATAGAATGTCAAATCGAATAAAGACAAATATATTAATCAAGATATGAGAACTTGATTACTCATTTTAATTTTTATGATCAAACTTTAAGTCTCTTCGTCACTCATTTAATGAAATTGTGCATGTGTCTGACTTTGGTGGGAAAAATAAATCATATCTACACATAAATAAACATGTCAAAAATAATATTTAAATGATATAAATGTGATACTTTTTAATCTCTTAGATCAAATGGCACAGTCTAATGCTTTTGTAGCAAGTGGATCACAAAATCTCTTTGAAAATGTAGCAATTTGGTCATTAATTTTCATTGTGTTGCACTATCAACCTTCAATAATAAAAATTGTTCAAATAAGCATTAAATCATTACACGTTCCTCGTATGTCTAATTTTGTCAAGCTAGATTGCTTCTGCTTAGAAACTTGAAGTGAAGCATGATTTTATGAAAATAACACAATAATATAACGAAGTTTTGAATGATTTTTTCACTGAAATTACGATGCAAATATAATGAAAGGTCGGGAACCTCTAGTGCAATTTTATATGTATTGATTATCTAGTCCAATCCTCCTAGCTTTAAAGCTTACAACTTATCCACAAAATTTATGGGGAGTGTTTGATTCTTTTATTTTCGTATGGGACTCTATCCCCAAAATGTTCTCCAATTCAGCAATAAACCAATCCAAAAAGGTAAACATGACCAATTATTTTATTCCACATGGCGATAATTATAGAAAAAGGACCTATTCTTTTACTCATAATTGGAAGATTAGTGCAGCAATAGTGAGATGAAAAATGAAGATATGATTTAGTAGGCTTATCTTGCCTTCGTGGTTTATGTCATCCTTGGATGAGATTTGTTTCCAAATAGAAATGCTGGCGTGAGTTTTTAATCATTGCATTCAAATTGGTAGAGATCAGAGAGATTTATTTATTTACACGCAAATTGAATATATTTTTTTAATCAAAAACCTATTACGCGCACAATTTTTATAAATTCATAACTGCGACATTTGAACAAGTGTTTTGTCTAATTTTGATACCATTTTAACCATTTAATCTAAATTTTAATCATTTCTTGTTGTCATAAGTTGTCTTCGGATATATATGAACTAGCTGGTTTCAACTAGAATCAGACCCAACCCACTACCCATTTCCTTGTAAGTTATTTTTCTCGATTTTGTGATGCATGTAGTAACCCTGTAGAGAAATACCCTCATTACTTTACGTCATTATGTTTACAGAGAAATACTTTCTATAGCCAACTCGTCAACTTACAATTTTTGTAAAAACTAAGGGCTCGTTCTCTTTACCATTTTCAAGCTATTTTCTATTTTCGATTTTTCAAAATAGTGAAAATGCGTTCTCTTTCCTATTTTTAAAAATACGTTTTTGAAAACAAGTTAAAAATTTACAAAAATAAAAAATCCAAAACGACAAATTTTTCATTTCGAGTGTTTTCAGTTATAATTAAGTCAAAATTTTCAAAACGTGTTTTAGATATTTTCAAAACAATTTTTCAAAATGTCAAAAAGAACACACTTTCAACAATTTCAAAATGGACACTCAAAACACAACTCAAAATGAATTCAAAACTTAAAACACAAAACTGAAACACAAAGAAAACAGCCTTTAAGCCTATGTTTGACTCATTTTAAAATAGAACTCTTTAATTCTCATGAACCTTCTATGTCTGCATGTTATTATTGTAAATTCAGTTAACAAAAATAAAAATAAGTTAAAAAAGATGTATAACTACAGAAATCTGGTAATTGTTAGTTGAATAACCGCCACCATTCGAGAATTGTTCCTTAAGATTCCATATGGATATCTTTTTGTCCATGAAAAGTTCCTTATCAGTAATTTTTCCAAACCCTATTCCAAAAAGATGCGTGAGCCCAGGTGTTTTTAGGTTTGTAGCGAGCAGGTGTTTACTGGGACAGACTGGTTATGATTTTCTTTAAAGCAAGTGAAAATAAAAGTTAAAAAAAAATCTAGTTGAGGACTGCCCAAGGGCTCAACACTGGTATCACGTGTATGTGTATGTGATGATACGTACTTGACTCGTTAATGGAGGTAGCATTTTCAAAATTGAAAGGACGAGAGTAAGAGATAAATAGAAAAGATCTCAAAGATGTTGTTTGGTATGATTTTTAAAAAGTTAAAAAGTGACTTGTGAGATTAAGAATCTACTTTAGTTTTGAGTTATGTTAGGTTTTGTGACTCAAATTCGGACTAAAGTTTGCGTGATTTGGAGTATTGTGTTGGAATTTAATTTGTCACGTGGATATATATATATATATATTAATTGTGTATAAATGCTAACTTAAAGTTAAGTTCGCTTAAAGTGATCTAATAAGGAATTTAAGTTATTGAGCTTTGAGCATTCAAATAAAATGTGGGTCTGATTCAGGGATGGCAACGGGGCGGGGCGGGGATGCCCTCCTCGTCCCCCGCCCCGTTAAGAAATTCATTCCCCATCCCCTCCCCGTTTCCCATTTAAGGCGGGGCGGGGCGGGGGGCGGTTATTTCCCCGTTTATTCCCCGTTAAATTTTTTTTTTTTTTTAGTTTTTGATAATTTATTTTTATTGCACATATTCATTAGATTTAAACAAATAATTTTAGTTGCTATTTTCT